TTAACACCGGGTGGGCTGTGAGCTCGTGTACTCTACTAAACTACATAGTTATATATAAATCGAAAAAAACAATTGTGCCCGAGCTTAAGGCGAACGTATGTTCTAAGAAAACAATAAAATAGCTACCTACCCTTTTCATTGCCGGCAGGTTAAATAGGCCATAAATAACTGTCCCGAGTGGTTATTCGATTTTCGGAAACCCTCGATCCAATGTTGGAGCCGCCGGGGCTTTAGTGATGTACAATACTGCAAACAGTCTCAGGGTAGCATGCTGAATCACGGATTTGTTCGTTAATCTTGTTCGTTTTACGACGAAAGTATCCACGCCAGTCGAAAGATAATGAGCTCACTGCGTTTTTTTTATGTTTGAGAGATTACTGGTGACCCGGAGAGGCTTTTCTAGTTTTACCGGGCAGATGGGCGAGCAAGGGCTCATCAGCCAGGAGGGGTGGGATTTGTGAGCTACCCGAGCGCCTCCAAACGTACGTATGGATTGTTTCTATGGAAATTATGTATGAAGGAGTGACTGCTTCCATGATGTTGTTAAAATGATAGCGTCAGCATTGCTGCTGACGTCAGCGATTGATAACAGCGCGGCCGGCGCCGTGTTGTTATTACAAAAGGTAACGTCATTGTATTCATTATTCATATTGTTATCATTAACTTCTATAGTGACAGTAAATAATACTCACTTTTCCAATTAATTCCATTTATTACATTTCAGTGTATAACGATAACAACAGAGAGCTCCGCTCAGTTCGACTGCTCGAGTCGGAACGTATTTGTGCAACAATAATCACTCGTATTTATAGTAGAAAGACTTAAACAATTGTTTACACGCGTTGGACTTCCAACAGTCAACCAACAACGTCAATATTAAGGAAACAGTTAACTGTGACTAATTTTAGTTAACTAAATAGTGAGTACTGTTGCGTCAATATATATTATATTTTTCGCCAGTCGCAGACGCAGTTAAAGCTATGTTTACGGTTTGATTATGTAAATTTTATAGTTTCCGATTTTATTTTAATCCCTTACAGTTGTTTGCGTTGGTTTCTGGTAAGGGATTGTTTGAAGCTTCGATGCGTGAAAGGCTATGCGGCTTAAGCGACATTTTGGCAACTTTACAGGCGAGCCATAGATAGTTTAAAATTTTGAGAAAATATCATAATAAGAAAACTTCATAAGCTACATATTCGAATGGGGTAAACTTACTTGAAGTGCAATTATTAAATTCAATTATTAAAAACATCGAATCGTTGATGCTAATATCAAATAGGATGATGGATCTTTAATTATAAAGATAATAGTCGCGTGCTCAGTGAAAGGTCGCTTAATCCAAATAGCATTTCAACGCTCGATATAATGTATTAAAGGATCCTCAGGATGGCGGCGACAATTGAGACACTTTACATCCACACGAAAAAATATATTCTCTTTAGTACACGTTACGGTGGGTAGAATACGAATGCCACAGGGATATGCTAACCACCGGTATTTATACAATCATCTTGACCCATTTTAATACGAACTTAGTAGGTAAACTTAATAGGTAAAATAATAATAGTGACGTCTGCAACTCCTTACTAAAACAATTACAATCAAAAAGTTTCTCACCCCTTAAATTTCAAAACTTAAATACTACAGACCCATATCATCTAACTTATAATAACTTAACACGAACTTACTTACTGAGCACGTATACTTTACTAGTCGCTTAAACTTCACTAAGTTAGAGCTTTTAGCGTGAGCTTGCATTCTGACACATGCCGAAGTTCGAAACAGCCAAACTTAAGTTAGTAAGGTAAGTTCGTCTGTGATATTATTTAAATGTGATTTTTATTAGAAAACGAATTGAAATTTTGTTATATTTTGTGATACTGGTAGTAGAAGCTCTTGAGTCCGCGCGGGTAGGTACCACCGCCCTGCCTATTTCTGCCGTGAAGCAGTAATGCGTTTCGGTTTGAAGAGTGGGGCAGCCGTTGTAACTATACTGAGACCTTAGAACTTACATTTAAGGTGGGTGATGCATTTACGTTGTAGATGCCTATGGGCTCCAGTAACCACTTAACACCAGGTGGGTTGTGAGCTCGTCTACCCTTCTAAGCTATAAATAAAAAATATATATTCGTTTTTCACCGTGAATGGGACAGAAATAATTCCAAGAAGGCGTCTTATATGCCTGCAAGCGTAGGTGCCACCACCCAGCCTATTTCTGCTGCCATACAGTAGGTAATGCTTTTCGAAGCATGGTGCAACCGAAGTCACGGAATAGATAAATAAGGTAATCTTATTTATTTATTCCGTGGCCGAAGTCCAATGTTGAGACAATAATGTCAACTGCTGAACCACTAACTCAAACTGGACAAAAATATTTTTATTTAAAGACAGCGCTTTGAGGTCGAATTCCTAATGGTACTAGATAATCAGCCGTCCTCGATCCATTTACAAACTCAAACCGAAGCTAATAGAAAGTCCGTGTTTCGCATATAATTAATAACAAAGCCCAATCAAGATGTTACTAATTCGGATGAATTGTCGTCTAAATCTCTAATAATTTCCAAGAATAGATTGTAATTGTAAACTTGGAATTCTAGGCACGTTTTTGCGTAGCTTCGCTAAACGAAGACGAGGGAGGCGGCTAAGGAAAAAGTTACGTACATAAATAAATGCATTTTTTTAAGGCCGTTAGCCGTTTTTAAGGTATCCGTGAATCGGGGACTTAGTTTATACTTAGTTAAACAAAGTTATGTCACTACTTCATTGAGTCCCTAATGAACAAATGCGCATATAAACCGCAAATATCTTTGGAAAATGCCTAAACTAATCGAATTTGTGTGAATATGAAGTTTTAATGGAACTGTTTTTGATGTGAAACATCTATAGCCGCACGTAAAACCGATTTCTGGCGTGGCCACGCATGCCGTGGCGACGCGTCGCCATGCGCAATCGACTGTGCGATTCTCTCCCACTCGATCCGGCGTTAAGCCATCTCTCTCGCTACACTGAGCTCAGATACCTATAGTGTATACTCCGTAGTGTATACAGTGTTGTTTACTACAGCAGTACACATAACCTGTGTTTTACTTGAAAACAAATTATTTAATTGTAATATTTTATTTTATTAGACATATTTAGTTCCTATCACAATCTGTTCTTTTCTGCATATTACTTTTACAAAATAATGTCGATGTTTCACATCTGCCAGGCATCTCCAACCAAAGTGGCATAGCCTCTTTTACAGAAATAGGCAGGCTATAGTAATACGCAAAGTATGTATAAGATTGACAGAGATGATTTTGATAAATATTTTTGTTTTAAACATTAAGTACTAGCAAACTGCGTTACAGCGTCATCTAGCGACGGGTAATGCAACCTAGTAACCTATACAAGTATATTTAATTCGGATCTACAAGGTATCGTCACTAGATGGCGCTTTACAATATCGAACCTCGCGACTGTAAGATCTTAGTGAAAATATGGTCTGTGTTCTTTTCGCCTTTAACCATTCAGCCTGAAGTGGTCGAAAATATCTAAAGTCTGGTGTGGGTGTGTATCAATAATCGATTTTCGTTATTAACCATTGATAACCGTTTTTCACGAATTTACAGCTTACATTGAATTTGCGGATGTTGAAAAATTATAAAATATCAAAGATATACTCTTTTAAGCAAGAGAGTCATGAAATTAGATTGAGATTGCAACAAACGGTCTTAATTGATAGAATTCAGTTGTTAACAAGACATAAGCAAGTTCAATATTAGATGGTTATATGATGATCAAATTCAAAATCAGTTAATAAGCTCCCAGATGTCGGAGCATCTGCACTGGGCAATAATTTTCTTCGCAACTCCGGCAAATTAACTACATTTAAAGCTACATTTACTGTTAAATCTCGTGTTTATTATCTCAATCTATATATTAATACGTGAAGCGAAAACTTTGTATCCCTTTTTACGAAAATTGCGCGGACGGAGGAGTATGAAATTTTCCACACTTATAGAGAATATAGAGAAGAAGTGCACAATGCTCAATTTTTTTTACTAATGCATAAAAGATACATTAAATCAATAAAGAAAACATTACACACACTACCATGTATTTGACACACACACGCATGCATACCATTTGTTTATGTTTATTGTCAAACTTTTCTTTGCAGTCTGTCAGTTATAGTCTGTCAAATTGAGAATAGATTAAATATTGTTTTCTCTTTATTCATATTTGTCTAAAGCGTAGTCTTGACGAAACCTGTGATTAAAGAAGTATAATCCTTGACAATAGAATCATAATAGTGTACAAACTTATAATTTCCATTAGGTCTCGAATTTCGACTACCAGGGGACTACTAGTTCTTATTATTTTCATCATTTCGCTTTACTGGTGGACCTCTTGTGAGTCCGCGCGGTTAGGTACCACCACCCCGCCTATTTCTACCGTGAAGCAGTAGTACGTTTCGGTTTGAAGGGTGGGGCGGCCGTTGTAACTATACTGAGACCATAGAACTTATATCTCAAGGTAGGTGGCGCATTTACGTCTTAGATGTCTATGGGCTCCAGTAACCACTCAACACCAGGTGGGCTGTGAGCTCGTCCACCCATCAAAGCAATAAAAAAAAAACCTACGTATAGCCTATGTTATAAGCGGCTCGTGTTTTCGTCGATATAAATTTTACCAATGCGCTGATTAACGTAGATTTTTTTCTGTTTAGAAAATAAAATCAAACCGCAAATATATTTACCATTAAGGTTTAATAAGCAAACTCAATAGCGCTGAGCACCTTTTTCAAAATATCAAGACACGAAGCTTACTTTGACAGCTGTAACTTTTGACATCTGTCAAAATCATCAAGAATGGCCTAGAACTACAAAATGAATTGAAACGATTCCAATCAACCATGCCCACAAAGTGACGAATAGCATTAACAAAAAAAAAAAAAATACAGTCCCTATTAACCGCAGGGTACAATAGCGTAAACAAAAATTGTGTCACTAACGAAAATGGGTAAGGTGCCTTATTTGTCCGATTCCGAAGCCACGGACGACACTTGCAGCTCATACGAAAACGGTAGTCGGAAAAAGAAATTCTCGTAAGTCATCAAATAATTTCCTGGTAGTAGGACGTCTTGTGGGTCCGCACGGGTATGTACCCTGCCTATTTCTGCTGTGAAACAGTCATGCGTTTCGGTTTGAAGGGTGGGGCAACCGTTGTACAAAAGTGGCACTTAGAAATCATATCTTAAAGTCTGTGGCGCCGCTTACGTCGTTCATGTCTAGGGGCTCCAAAACCACTTAAAGTTGACCGTGACAACATAGACTGGTCTAAGCAAAAACAAACCTTTCAAGGTTCAACCCGCGTTGTGATTTCAGTTCACATAACAATACAATTGGCTCCGAGTTCGTCTACTGTTTGCTAAAGTGCGAGCATACCCGACCCTGTACGCCGAATTTTTTATTTTTTATTTTTATTTTATTTTATTAGGCTCACAACACACATCACAAGCTAAAGATACACAAAAAACACAAATAAAAAGAAACAAAATCTGGCTTGCAACATAAGACATGTGCGCACGACAAAACAAGACATATAGTGCTGAATTTGTATAACAATGTTCCTTACAATTATGACAAAACAACACAATAACAAAAACTAATCTAACGAATAATGTAAGGAAGAAAAAAAAAAAAAAAATTATTNCGACGTCGCCCAAAACACGTCATTACGGATCCTCCCGATTCACTAACGGTGCTTTTAGGTACCACAAGCACCGGTCACCGTCCTCGTCGAACCCGTCGTTTGCGACGAAGGGCTCGACGAGCGAATTAACCCACAGACACAGCCCACTGAATTTCTCGCCGGATCTTCTCAGTGGGTCGCGTTTCCGACCCGGTGGTAGATTCTGCGAAGCACTGCTCTTGCTAGGGCTAGTGCTAGCAACGTCGTCAGGTCTGAGCCCCGTGAGCTCACCTACTAGTTAAGGTTACGCTGAAATAGCCTCTCAAGGCTATCAGTTTACGTAGGGAAAAAAGTGCGAGTTTTTAACTTTTCGATCGCGTAAAAGTTAACTCGAATTTGTATGGAGCTGGAACAATTTCCCTACGTTTGCCGCTAGGGGCGCTGTTCCAACTAAGCATACAGATAATCAATAATTCACAGCATACTGAAATGCACGACCGGTAATATAAAGAAGAAGAAATGTAAGGTCCACAGCAAGTCGGAACCCGACGACTCTGACTACCGCAGCCGGACTAGGAGCAGAAGCAGAAGTGGTAACCGAGTGAGATACAAACTACCAGGGATCCTCAAGCGCGACAAGGACGGAGCATGTGAGTGTGTGTGTTTTTTGATTAGCGACTCTGTGTCGTAAATTAATGAAAGCTCAATTGCTAAAACGACATAAGCGCCACGTTTTGACTATACAGAAACCTTCCTTAGAACGCTATTAAGCAAGTTTTATAAGAGGCAAATATACAAATTACTTACTAGTTTACTTAGTTTACTGGTGGTAGGACCTCTTGTGAGACCGCACGGGTAGGTACCACCACCCCGCCTATTTCTGCCGCGAAGCAGTAATGCGATTCGGTTTAAAGGGCGGGGCAGCCGTTGTAACGATACTGAGACCTTAACACTTATATGTCAACGTGGTTGGCGCATTTACGTTTTTTTTTTTATTTACGTTGTAAATGTCTATGGGCCACTTAAGACCAGGTGGGCTGTGAGCTCGTCCACACATGTAAGCAATAAAAAAAAATACAGCTAGCTGTCCTATAAACGGAGTATTTTACAACACGGTTTTCACTCTGACACGAAAAGAAAAATTCCCCAAAACACTCTCATAACACAACCTCTACGGCACGACAGTGAGATTTTTGTATGAAATTATTTTAAAAATTACATTATGCACTAAGAACAAACATTTTATAGGAATAACTGAAATTTTACTGCTTATTTTTATGTATAACTAGCTGACCCGGCAGACTTCGTAGTGCCTCAATCTATAAATAAAAGACACAAAAATCGGTCCAGCCGTTCTTGAGTTTTAGCGAGACTAACGAACAGCAATTCATTTTTATATATAGATAGATAGATACCAACGGATTGGTATCAGTGGGTTGTATCTATAGGTTTTGAAGTCGTCGTGGTGTAAAGGATAAGACGTCCGTGCATTCGTATGTAGCGATGCGCCGGTGTTCGAATCTCGCCGGCGGCTACAAAATGTTCCAACGAAATACGTTCAACAACAAATGTTCACGATTGACTTCCACGGTGAAGGAATAACATCGTGTAATAAAATTCAAACCCGCACAATTATATTTTGCGTAATCACTGGCGGTAGGACCTCTTGCGAGTCCGCACGGGTGGGTACCACCACCTTGCCTATTTCTGCTGTGAAGCATTAATGCGTTTCGATTTGAAGGGCCGGGCAGCCGTTATACCTAACTATACTGAGACCTTAAAAATCATGTCTCAAGGTAGATGGCGGCATTTACGTTGTAGATGTCTATGGGCTCCAGTAGCCACCTAAGACCAGGTGGGCTGCGAGCTCGTCCAGAGAAGAGGCTACAGGTTCAAATGCATTGAAATAAGAAAGTCTGTCTATATGTTAAATATACTTTTTTTATATCTACAGTACCTAAACATAGTCATTTTATATTATTACATGAGATTATAAAAAAAAATTACCTCTGAAAACTATAGTTTTGCTTCAATATCAATAATAATAGTTACTAGTGGTCCCGGAGCAGTCAAAATTCGACTATAATTTATTGAAATTATAAGTTTGAACATCATTAAGGTTCTATTATCAAAGACTATTATACTTCTTTATTTACAGATTTCGCCAAAACCACACCATAGACAAATAATATTAAAGATAAACAATATTAACCTATTCTCAATTTGACCACAGACTTTATGCAGTAACAAAAGTTTGACAATAAACGAAGAGTATATAATTATATGCGTGTGCGTCAAATACACGGTAGTGTGCGTATTGTCTTTTTTTTATTGATTTAATGTATTACTAATACATAATTATAAAAAAAAATAGTATTCTGCACTCCTTCTCTATATTCTCTATAAGTGTGGGAAATTTCATACTTCTCTGTCCGTGGATATTTCGTAAAAAAGGATAAAGTTTTTGCTTCACCTATTAATATATAGATGATGTCATACTACTGATACTATACAATGTTTTTGCACAGTCGCCCGGCCGACTCGTTAGCTCAGTAGGTTAGAGCGCCGATATAAAAATTATCTTGATCATCGGAGGGCGGAGGTTCAAATCCTTCACGAGTCAGTTTTTATTTTTGTCTATATAAATAAATCTACAGTAGTTTTTACGGATGTTCCGTTATAACTACTGAACAATGCATCCGATTGACTTGAAATTTGGTATCCACGTAGAAAATACATGTACTTAATGGATAGGCTAATATTTATATGAGTGTTGGACTCCGTACACCAGTTGCGGGGGCGTTAATGATGAGAATATTTTCGGGGGGTGAGAAATAATAATGTTAATTTTAAATGCCCAGCGAAGCGGACGGGTACAGCTAGTATTTTATAAATTGCTTTTTTTAATTTTACCTCTTTTTAAATATTTCAACATAATTATTACAAACTTAAACACATTCGATTAACTTGAACATTTGAACACATATTAAGTGTAAATGATAATTTTTATATAATCATCATTCTCCTGCCCTTCTCCCAGTCACCTGGGGTCGGCGCAACATGTTTTCTCCTTCCATACTCCTCTGTCACTTAGTCTGGCCATAAATACTGTTACAATTAAAAATAAACAAAATATTACATTTGAATTCGGAATCTGTAATTTTTATATGATTGCTCATTGAGTTTTCTCGTTTGGGCGCCAATACATTGTACAATATTTTGCGATATTAAAATGGAGTGGGGTGATAAAGAGAACCGAATCGCTGTGGTTGCATTACACAAAGTAGGTATGCAGCCAAATGCAATTTTTAAAACTCTCCATACGCTTGGTATTAGTAAAATGTTTGTGTACCGGGTTATTAATAGGTGCAATGAGACCTCCTCTGTTTGTGACAGAAAAAGATCTGGCCGTCCACGTAGTGTTCGTACGAAAAAGGTGGTCAAAGCAGTAAGGGAAAGAATTCGAAGAAATCCTGTCCGAAAGCAAAAGATTTTATCTCGGGAGATGACGATAGCACCTAGAACCATGTCGCGTATTTTAAAAGATAACTTAGGACTTGCAACATATGCAATAGCTTAATAAATACTTTTATTGCATCTGGTAATTAAAGTTTTTACACTACATAATTTGGACTAATGTTTGAATAGTTATGACTACAAGCAACCGAGTGCGCGATATCAGGAGAGATGAAGATAGACATTTCAATAAGATCAATAATAAATTACAGCTTCCGAAGCGAAGCGCGGGGCGGGTCGCTAGTAAGATATAATATATACGTGACCTAAACGCTATTTTTTTAATAAATAAATAATAAATATTTACTAACAATCACGCCACGTTAACTGGTCCCGTGATAAGTTCGTAAAGAACTTGTGTTACAGGTACCAGATAACGGAAATAAATGTAAGATTTTTTATTATACACATACATATATTTAATATACATCCATAACCCTGGAAAAGACATTTATATTTATCATACAAATATCTTCCCTTGGCGGGATTCGAACCCGCGTCCCCCTTGTGTAGTGACCATGTCACTTACCACTACACCAGACGGCCGTGTTGATAGAGAGTCCTGTGAGCCTGCACTGCTCCACAAAAGCATCTGTCTATCACTACCCCGCCTGTTTTTCTCGCGAAACATTAACGCGCTTCGATCTCCGGCAACCACTTAACACTAGGTGAACGTTCGCTAATCAGTGCAACAAAAAACTATGTTTTTTTTTATTGCTTAGGTGTATGGACGAGCTCACAGCCCACCTGATTTTAAGTGGTTACTGGAGCCCATAGACATCTACAGCGTAAATGCGCCACCCACCTCGAGATATAAGTTCTAAGGTCTCAGTATAGTTGCAACGGCTAGCCCACCCTTCGAACCGAAACGCATTACTGCTTCACGGCGGAAATAGGCGGGGTGGTGGTACCTACCCGTGCGGCTCCCAAGAGGTCCTACCACCAGTAATTACGCAATTTATATTATATTTTTATAGCCCGATGCTATTCCTTCACTGTAGAAGTCAATCGTGAACAATTGTCAAGTACGTATTTCATTACAAAAATTGGTACCTGCCCGCGGGATTCGAACATCGGTGCATCGCTTGAGACGATTGCACCGGACGTCTTATCCATCAGGCCACGACTTCAATAGTATATAAATAGTTTGTATTGGTTGATACAGCTTCAGACGACGACGAAGAAAGCGAAGTGCTAAGACCCAAGTCTCAAGATAGATGTCTCGTCGGTCGAGTGCCCAGACCGGCTGGGGCGAAGCCCGGTCGTGGCGGAGGCGTCGCTATCGTTGTCAAGAGGAATGTTAGCGTGAGTTTGTTTAGTTTCCGTTAGTAAACGTTGCCTGTAACTACACAGCGTGACTGGCGTCATAGAGCGAAAATTGAATAGGTTTGAACTTTTTTTACTGGTGGTAGGACGTCTTGTGAGTCCGCGCGGGTGGGTACCACCACCCTGCCTATATCTTCCGTGAAGCAGTAATGCGTTTCGGTTTGAAGGGTGAGGCAGCCGTTGTAACTATACTTGAGACCTTAGAACTTATATCTCAAGGTGGGTGGTGAATTTACGTTGTAGACGTACGTAAAAAAAAAAAATACAAATATATAAATAATAAGCACCCAGGGAAAGAGCAAACAAACCTTTTTCGTCACACAAATGTTTCCCCGACGTGGGAATTGAACCCACGACCCTCAGCTCAACAGTCAGGGCCGCTAACTACCGCACCACCGAGTCAATCACCACGGATGCCTTTGAAAATTTTTATTTTTATTTTTTTGATTAGTTATATGGGTGGATGAGCTCACAGCCCGCCTGGTGTTAAGTGGTCACTGGAGCCCATAGACATATACAACGTAAATGCGCCACCCACCTTGAGATATAAGTTCTAAGGTCTCAATACAGTTACAACGGCTGCGCCACCCTTCAAACCGAAACGCATTACTGTTTCACGGCAGAAATAGGCAGGGTGGTGGTACCTACCCGCGCGGACTCACAAGAGGTCCTACCACCAGTAAAAGTAGTTAAACCGAAGAAAACCTTACCAAGTTAAAGTATCTTTATAGCCGGTTTGTAATTTATAAACTTGAGCATAAGGCAAAAGCTAGGCACCGTATTTCATGAAACTTTTTGTGTTCGAAAGTGTCCCCTACATTCCAACTGTTAAAGTCGAGAATACACATAATATCCCGAACTTGGAGCATTGGTAAGGCGTTAACGACTCCGAAGAGAGCTGTTAGGATTTGAAATACATTGAACTAATAATAAGAGTGTGCTCAATACTTTGGAAGTGGTACTTTATAGAAACTATTAAAATTTGTTTCACTTTTATTTTTTCTCCTACTTATTCGCTGGTAACCTGAGGGGCTATTCCAGTAACGCCCGGATGGGTAGGTGAGCTCACTGGCTCAACCTTAGAGATTTTGCTAACGCTATCCCTACCCAGAGCAGTGCTTCGCAGAATCTACCACCGGGTCGGAATCACGACCTACTGAGAAGATTCCGGCGAGAAACTCAGTGGGCTGTGTCTATGGGCCAGTTCACTCGTCGAATTCTTCGTCGTAATTAACGGGTTCGACGAGGACGGTGGCCGGTGCTTGAGGAGTCCTAAAAGCACCGAAAGTGGATTCGGGGGATCAAGCAAGACATAATTCGGGCGATGGCGGCTTGCGTTGCTCCGTTGCCTGGGTCGGATAAATTTGTTTCACAATAGTTATTGTAAAACTGTCATCGGTCACATTGCAACTGATTTGGTCATCAAGGGGTCATGAGAATATCAATATTCCAGTTAAACGAATCCTTAAAACCCACTACATTGTCAATGTCGGGTTCCACTGAGGTGCGAAATGCGGAGAAGGCGCCAAATAGCGTCACTAATCCGAACCTTATAGTTGATTTGATGTCAAAACATGCAGTTGTCTACTTATCCAAATCTCGTGTACATTTCGTACATCAATGTTTCGAGTTTCAACTGATTCCCGATATTTTAGAGCGAGTTCAGTTCATTTTTCTTCCGAAAAGTCTCCCAGCAGGCCTCCCTCCTCTTTGGGTCTTTGATGTACGTTCTGCAGTTCGGTCTCTCGAGGATCTCTATTTAGACGAAGAATCTTATCGCGTTTATTAATAAATATGATGTGACCTTGGGATGCTCACGTTGTTCTTCGTTTATTGCACTCGTACTCCATCATTGAGATCTTGTAGCAACTGGTGATGTCGTGGCGTGCAACCTCTTTGACAGGACATAAGACCTACAACGACTAGACACAGACTAAGACAGACACTTGACAAGAATTCAAAAATAAAGAGGGAAATGGAACGAGGGCGTGTGTGACTAGCGGCAGGCAGTCCTTTTTTTGACTTACTAAGGACGGACACGAACCATACGACAAGGAACGAATTGACCGTTCTCATATGTATATAAAATAGACGACGAAAGAACTAATCGACCGTTCAAGTGGTCCTAAGACCGTTCAGGCGAGTAACGCGAATCGAACCCAAGCCTTTTTGTCTTAATTATTATAGGCATCATGAAGTTATATTTCTAACTTTTTATGTGGATTGCAGATTTAAGGTTGACATTTGATTGCATAATTTGTAAATTTTTTAATAGTTTTTAATGTGGTATATCCAAGAAACGCTGGTTGGATGTGGTAAAGGCCGATATGGAGGACAATAACCTCACTCAGAAGGATGCCAAAGACCGGGCAAAGTGGAGAAATTTAAGTAGGAAAATCTGAGAAATCGCACTCTGACTGTGGCTGTATTGTTAGCTTCAGACGGGTTCTTGAGTAGAGTCAGCGGACTTGTTATCGTAATTTGGGATGGTCCTCGGCTAGGTGGTGCGATGACTTGCGAAGGGTGGCTGGAGGGATGAGGAGATCCGAAGATAGAGCTCAGTTGGGGGATTGGGCCGCTGCTAATGATAACGATTGTTAGCTTTGTTTTCGCTCGCGTCTTTGGATAATCGATTTCAAATGACGAAAAAAGACCTGCATTAAATGCCTTTCATAGAGGACCTTTCTAGAAAATCTATCGATTTTTGATTTGCTTCAGTTTTTGGCTTAAGCAGAAAATTACAGATGTATCAACAAGAAACGTCATTGTTGATGGTATAAGCTAAAAGATCGCCGTAGGAATATCGATTCTTGTCTAAAACGATAGATTTTCGTGTCGATCCGAATCGATTCACGACAAAATCGATTTCGGGAAAATTTAAAAAAAATATATTTCATTATCGCTTCAGTTGTTATTTAGGAAGGAGAACTACAGACATAAGAAGAATCAACATAAAAAACGTTACATATGAATCGCTTTAGTAGGGCGTAAATGATCCTAACCTATGGTAACACCGGCCAAACAAAAACTCATTTTTCATCATCAACAACGACTGTTTATTTATTGAGAGAAGACGAATGGAACTGAAGCAATCGATTGAATCTGTGATTAATTTAAATAAAAATATCGATTAATGTAAAGGGTATTTATGTATCGAACTGTTTTTTTTGTACTCATTCGGACGTATTATTTCTGAAGTAGGTATGTCTGCGACCACCAATCAACAAAGCATCATAGTAGGATGATAAATAAGACGGTTTTCGCTCAACATAATTAATTAATGTCCACAATAAATCACTATAAAGATCATAATATTGTGCGAACGTGAAACTGGACGTGTTCCAGAAATTGACGTCATAATGCTAGTTGATTAGAGCTTATTTTTGATTGCAACGACACGACTCGTTAGCTCAGTAGGTTAGAGCGCCGATATAAAAATTATCTTGACCATCGGAGGGCGGAGGTTCAAATCCTTCACGAGTCAATTTTTTTTTCTTTATTTTGAGATATTTTTGAAACTAGAGAAGATCGACTATGGCTTTGCTGTGGGTATCATAAAACAGTACCACATTCTGAAACTACTCGCGCGCTACCTGCCGTACGTTGATAATGTTCACGATTGACTGAACGGAACTGATTCACCGTGGGGTGAAGGAATAACATCGTGTAATAAAAATCAAAACCGCAAAATTATAATTTGCGTAATAACTGGTGTTAGGACCTCTTGTGAGTCCGCGCGGGTGGGTACCGCCACCATGCCTATTTCTACCGTGAAGCAGTAATGCGTTTCGGTTTGAAGGGTGGGGCAGCCGTTGTAACTATACTTGAGACCTTAGAACTTATATCGCAATGTGGGTGGCGCATTTACGTCGTAGATGTCTATGGGCTCCAGTAACCACTTAACACCAGATGGACTGTGAGCTCGTCCACACACCTAAGTAATAAATAAATAAAAGTTCTAACATGAATGCCGCCCCCATTTAAGGACTTGAGGTCATTGTCTCAACTGCATGTCATAACGGTTACCTCACACATTAGTCGGCTTGTTTCCGTAACGGGCATAACAGTAGTGATTATTCGGAGTGCTTTAAAAGTATAATGTACTACCAATAAACACGAAAATGTAATGAGATTAGTTCCATTATCTAAAAGTTTGCCACCGGTACAGTTAATATCAAAGCCACGTTTGATCAGGGCTCCAGAGTGAGAAATCTCATTACGAAATGCGTCACGTAATATATGGGTAGCCCACTTTTATTTCTCACCGGATTTTCTCAGTGGGTTGCGTTTCCTATCCAGTGGTAGATTCTGCGTAGCACTGCTCTTGCTAGGGTTAGTGTTAGCAATGGACTCAGGTTAGAATCTCGTGAGCTCACCTACTTGATTACGCTAGCCCCCTAGGTACCAGCTTAGGTAGGAAAAAGAAAAAAAAGTAATATATGAGAGATTTCTCCATCAGCTGGAGCTACCAAAAGTTTTTGATAGATCCAATAACCCTTGCATTAGACACCTTTAGCTCTAACACTAGGGGTAGGGACCCCGGCAACCGTACTCGTCGAACTCGGCAAAGAGTTCGACGTGCAACCTAACCAAAACATCAGCCCACTGAGTTTCTCGCCGGATCTTCTCAGCGGGTCGCGATTCCGATCCAGTAGTAGATTGATTCGCGAAGCAGCTACTCTTGAGTTGTTAGGTCTTCTTTGGAGGCGCTCAGTAGCTGTTAGCAGATCCCACCCTTCTTGGCTGAGTCCGTGCTCGCCCACGTGCCCTGGTAAAACGGGAAAGGCTCCGGGTCACCAGCAATCACTCAAACATAAAAAAAAGCTTTTGAGTATCTTAGTCGAAGATTTTCACTATTGAACCGTAGATGGATAACTTCTAGGATAATGATAGGTTAACGTGTCGCTGGGATTTTAGAACTATATAGTTCTTATTTTATTTTTATTTTATTTATTGGTAACCAACATGTTATACATCAG